TATGTAACTATATGATGTTTCAGTAGTAGATAAATTGTAGTATAGTGATAGTACATTGATTCTAGCTAAGGCATTACAATCTATCAACCATGATGAGTTCAGCAATACATCACAACTACGCGAAAAGATCTTATGACACACATAATATAATTTGAAAATGTGAAGGGACGGAGACATATGAGCTCTTCTCCAATCCATTTCAACCATTTCTATAGATATCTACCCATACCCGTCTTATGAAAGCCAAAAATACTGCAATCTGACATTTTGTTTATTGATGGATGGAGACTATATATACACAAACGATCCAAGGGAATCGGCCTCAACAAACGACCTCAATCCCACTCTCCTGCAGATCTGCAACAAAACTAACTAACAGCTGAAAACTAGCTCAAGCTGTTTTAACAACGGTCACTGACTACTTTGACCAAATTCAAAGACCAAGTACTAAACTGGAAAACACCAAACGACACAGTTTTATTTGGACTCGGACTAAATGAACTTAAACTCGAAATACTGGCGCCAAACTCCTTTTACGACCTCAGCCTTCTTCACAAGGCCTCCCCTGATCTGGAAGAGTTCTTCTTGTCCAACAAAAGCCTCCTCTGAACTGGAGCCAAGTTGATTGGCTTCAGTTCACTCTCCAGCTTCAAACTCAGCACGATCCACCACTCCAAGCTTGGCCCTCATCAGCTGAAAGGTCTCAAGTTTCAGGGCCTTAGTCATCACATCTGCAATTTGTTCATAGGTTCTGCAATGCTCCATTGTCACCACTCCATTGTTGGCCAGCTCTCTTAAGAAGAGGAAACGGACGTCAATGTGCTTGCTTCTGCCGTGCAAAACTGGATTTCTGGATAGCTTTATGGCTGAGCTATTGTCACAGAAAATCCTTGTTGCTGTATCCACACTACTCTTCCATCCAAATTGCTCTAGTATTCTCCTCAACTAGACACACTGGGCTGCACTGAAAGAAGCTGCCACGAACTCTGCCTCAGTGGTCGAGAGGGTGACCACAGACTGCTTCTTGGATGCCCATGAAACCACCCCTCCTGCAAGAAAGAAAGCATAACCACTTGTGCTTTTCCTATCGTCCACATCACCTGCATAATCGCTATCAGTGTAGCCAATCAAATCTCCTCCTTCTCCTCCCCTTCTATACCAAATGCCATGCTCCATACTCCCTTTCACATACCTCAAAATTCGCTTAGCAGCCAACATTTGTTGCCTGGTGGGGGATTCCATAAATCTGCTAAGCAGACACACAAAATACATCAGATCAGGTCTGGTGGCAGTTATATAAAGGAGACTTCCAATTAGTTTCTTGTACTCAGTGGCATCTGTGGGCACTCTATCTCCTGCTTTAGACAGCTTGATTCCAGACCCGATCGGATTATTGACATGGTTGCAGCTTGACAGATTAAATCTCTCCAGCAACTCTTTTGCATATTTCTGTTGACAAATGAAAATGCCAGCATCTCCTTGGATTACTTCTACGCCAAGGAAATACCTCATCCTTCCCAAGTCTGTCATTTTAAATTCAGTTTGCATAGAACTCTTGAACTCCTGAATGAGCTGAGGATTGCTGCTGGTGCACATCAAGTCATCCACATAGATGCTCACTATTAGAATATCAACTCCAACCTTCTCTATGAATAGTGTGTGTTCATATGAGCTTCTCTGAAACCCATTCTGCAGAAATAAGTCTCTATTCTACTGTACCAAGCTCGAGGAGCTTGTTTTAAGCCATAAAAGGCTTTCCTTAACCTGTACACTTTTGATTCCTCCCCAGCAACCTCCTCAGACAGTTCACCATACAGGAAAGCATACTTGACATCTAACTGATGAACTTCAAATCCATGGAATGCAGCATAGGCTAGAAGAGCTCTAATAGTATCCCACCTAGCAACAGGGGCAAATCCCTCAGTGTAGTCGATTCCATGTCTCTGAGAGTATCCCTTTGCTACTAGCCTGGCCTTGCGTTTGTCTAGAGAGCCATCTTCCCTTTGTTTTGACTTGTACACCCACTTTAGGCCAATAGGAGTGACCCCTGCTGGACATTCAGTAAGTGTCCATGTCCGATTCTTCTCAATTGAATCCATCTCCTGCCTCATTGCTCCATTCCATCGAGGATCCGCAACAGCTTCTTTAAACGTGGTAGGATCATCTGCAACCACAACCATGGCCCACCAATCTGCATCCATGAGATTGCAATCATAAATATCAAGGTGAGCAGGTGGCTTTCTGATTCATGGGCCCAGACTTGGGCTTGGCAGTCCAAGAACATCTGTTGGGGAGGTAGATTGGTCTTCTTCTTCTTCTTCTTCACTTTCAGCTGACTGTGAGTCTGATGTAGGATGAGTTGAATCTTCTGATTCATCTGATCCACCTGCAGCCTCTCCTGTAGATGAATCACTGGTTTCCTCTTCTGTGTCTGAGGCTATCCAGTCATCCTCACTGCCTTCCCACGTTACTTTGGTAAGTGCAGGTTGATCTTCTGAGTTCCAACACCATCCTGCCTGCTCATCAAACACCACATCTCGACTTACCACCACTTTCTTGGTGGCTGGGTTGTATAACTTGTAGGCCTTAGACTCCACAGAAATGCCAAGAAAATAGCATTTAGTGCTCTTGCTATCTAGTTTCTTTCGCTGCTGATCTGGAACATGTACATAAGAGACACATCGAAAGAACTTAAAATGAGAGACTAAGGGGGGGTTTCCCAGTCCATAGCTCGTGGGGTGTCTTACCCTGATTGGTTGTGGTTCGACTCCTGTTTGTGACATGAGTTGTCCAAGCAACAGCCTCAGGCCAAAAGAAAGCAGGAACCTTGTTCTCTTCTAAAACACACCTGACCATATTCATTATGGTGCGATTCTTTCTCTCTGCTAACCCATTCTGCTGTGGGGTGAGAACTGCAGTCAATTGCCTTCTTATTCCTTCTTCTTCACAGAGTTCTTTAAACTCATTCAGCCACCTTTGTAGTTCTCAAGCACACAATAGGAAGACCGGTCTCTTTTTCAACCTGTGTTTTGAACTTCTTGAACACTCCTAATGTCTCAGACTTTGCATTCATAAAGAAATTCCAAAGTTTCCTACTGAAATTATCCGTTATAGTTAGGATGTACCTTTTTCCTCCATTAGAAGCTGGAGTTATGGGTTCACACAAGTCAGCATGGATCAATTGGAGCTTCTGTGATGCCCTCCAGGCTCCAGATGCTCTTCTTTGGAAATGACAATCTATGTTGTTTGCCTACCAGACAGGTTTGACAAACTCCACTCTCCCCCTTTAGTTCTGGCAAGTCAGCTACCAGATCTTTCTTCTTCAAGAGCAGCAAGTTTTGATAGCTCAGCTGGCCAAATATCCTATGCTAGAGGGTGAGGGAACTCTCTTTGTTGCTGTCTGTTTGTAAGCACTGATGACGCTGACCTTCTGTCCAGTCAGCTTGGAGAGCAAACATTCGATTAGACTTCATTTGGGTTTGCAACAGCAAACCCTTGCCCGAATGGAACAATTTGCAGTATCCTTCCTTGATTAAGAAGGAGATTCCCTTTTCTTGTAGTTGTCCAACACTCAGCAAACTTGTCTTCAACCCTGGCACATAGAAGACTTCTTGGATCATCAGGGACACCTGATTGATCACCAATTTCACAGACCCTTTTCCAACAAATTCCAACCTCGAATCATTGCCAAGCCTCACATTGCACCTAAAGGTAGTGTCAATGGAAGTAAACCATCTCTTGTCCCCAGTCATGTGGTTGCTACAGCCTGAATCAAGGAACCACCAGGTTCTTCCATCTGCTGCCTTTTCTTTGCCATCATGGGTGTCTTCAACAGCTCCCATCAGATTTGCTATCTCTTGCCTTACTTCAGTCCCTTCTTGATCAATGCAGGCCATTAACAAAACATCTTCTTTCATGTCTCCATGAGATTTGTCCTGTGAGGTCTGATAGCTGGAGTAGTGAGCTTGCTGGTTCGAATACCATTCTGGGCATTCAGCTTTGTAGTGTTCAAGTTTATGACACTTGAAGCACTCCACAGCTTCTCAATTCCAACTTCTTCCTCCCCTACCTCTTCCACGTCCAGGAGACCCTGCAAAGGCACCTCTTCCAAAGCCTCTAGCCCCCTGCCTCCAAACTCATGAGTGGTTCGAAGGGCTTGATCATCCTCAGCTGCACCTCGCCTATGAAACTTTTGTTCATGAGCAACCAAAGAACTTTGCAAAGCATCGACTGTTAGCATCTCAATATCCTTGGACTCCTCGATTGAACATACCACGTAATTGAACTTTTCAGTCAAAGTTCTTAAGATTTTTTCCACAATCTGCACATCAGTCAGATTCTCTCCACAACTTCTCATTGAGATGGTAACAACCATGACTCGGCCAAAATATTCTGTAATGGTTTCTCCCTCTTTCATTTCCAACAGTTCATAACTTCTCCTAAGTGCCTGAAGCCGAGCCTTTTGGACTCTAGCACTACCCTGGAATTTCAACTTCATTGAATCCCAGAGCTCTTTTGCTGTGTTCTTCTTAGTAATTGTTTTAAGAATTACCTTATCAATCGAACTGAAGAGGTAGTTCTTGGCCTTCAGATCCCTTAGCTTCACATCATCTAGGGATTTCTGCTCTACCTCCGAGAGCCTTTCACCTCCAGCTGGTTCCTTAAATCCTTCACTTACAACATGCCAGTACTCCTTCGATCGAAGGAGGTTCTCCATCAGCAGACTCTAGTGTTCAAAATTGCCATCGAACTTTGGAACACACACCTGTGCAAAGCTGCTATTTTCACTCATTTTCAGATCTCACCAAACACACTCTTGGCACAATTAGCAGTGCTCAATTCTCCCCAGATCAATAATGCCTCACAACAAACACTCATGTTTCCCACTACAAGCAACCCTCTTTGCTTGTAGTACTCTAATCACACTTCGCACTCTTTTAGGGTTTCTTGGTTACAGCTTGCACTGGCTCTGATACCACAATGAAAGCCAAAAATACTGTAATCTGACATTTTGTTTATTGATGGATGGAGAGTATATATACACAAACGATCCAAGGGAATCGGCCTCAACAAACGACCTCAATCCCACTCTCCTGCAGATCCGCAACAAAACTAATTAACAGCTGAAAACTAGCTCAAGCTGTTTTAACAACGGTCACTGACTACTTTGACCAAATTCAAAGACCAAGTACTAAACTGGAAAACACCAAACGACACAGTTTTATTTGGACTCAGACTAAATGAACTTAAAGTCGAAATACTGGCGCCAAACTCCTTCAACGACCTCAGCCTTCTTCACAAGGCCTCCCCTGATCTGGAAGAGGTCTTCTTGTCCAACATCTTATACCTAATGACGCACACCCACAATACTCTTGGAGCAAGCGGCATATTTCAGCACCCCAACATCCTTCTCGAATTTCGACATGTCCTCCTCACTCAACGTAACCCACGCTTCAACCCCAACCCCATCCTCAGCATCCAACAGCACCACAAGATTATAACACATCGTAAAGAAGCACATCCAAACCGGCTTCCCAATTCCAAAATCCACCTCATAGAACGGGAACCTGCACCAGCTGCTTATCGCCAACAGATTCCCTCCAGCATACTCCTCCACAAACCGCCTCAACACGTCGAGAAATCCACTTCCCGTCGCTTCCCTCATGTTCTCGTCGTTCACCATCTTCACCGACTCCCTCAGCTTCCCCGCCACAGCGCCGTAGTCGTTCTCGTCGTCGTCGTTATCCACTGGCCATTCGGCGAAAACCGGGATCTGGACGAGGTTCCCCATCGCTTGCTCCGGCAGGGCAGGTTTCATCCTCGACCTCAAGTTGGTCGTCATTGCCGCTATGTGATATCGACGACGACCCTCCTTCTTGTCTCGTGCTATCTTGATCGCGGCTGCCCAAATGACCGCCGACACCGCCTGCACGCGGCTGGGACGCTGCGAGCTCGCGGCCTCGATGTCCCGTCGAAGAGCCGCTACTTCGTCCCTTCCGAAAACGAACCTACACAAATGCACATTTTTTTTTTAACGAAAGGATTCACAAATCGGAGGGAAATGGGATGCATTGGTACCCTTTACGGTCGCCCACATTAATTATGATGCTATAAAAAATTTAATTTCCTTCTAATAACACCATTAATTTGTTTTATATTATTAAGATTATGTTTAGATATAAAACGAGCAATACTTTTTGGGTGCGGACCACGTGGAAAGGCCCCGGATTTAGAAAAAAAATCACACCCAACCTATCCTTTAACGGAAGCAAATTATCAGGAGGGAGCAGTGCAGTAAAAAATCACATCAACGATCATTTTACTTTTTGGATGCGCATCATGTAAAAATTATAACCTAGTTTAGCAACAAGAAAAAAACCTCTTGATCCTCGTGCCGGGAGTCGCCACCGCGGCTTGAAACCTCTCCAAGCACTCGCTCGCCACGGAGAGGTCCCTCGGCGGGAACACGTCGGTGCAATCCCGAACCACCACAGCGACGCCGCCGTTTCCGCCCTCGTGTAGCGCAGCAACTTTCATCGCGAACCCGCTCCACGTCCTGAGGAAGCAAGCGAGCGTACAAGCATCGGAGACGCCGTGCCACGCACACACGCCGACGCTCACTCCGCCGCACTCGAAGAAGCTGACCTGTACGGCCAGAAGCACCAGCTCCCCGTCCGAGTCCACGCGCCTCCCCTGAGGACGGCACGGGAGCAGCGGCAGCAAGCGGTCCTCGTCCACCGTCGTCTCTTGGCCAAGCGCGTCGGACAAGTGGCAGCCCACGCGGGCTCGAACGAAGTGGGCCCCGGCGTCGTTGCAGTCGACGGAGAAGGCGTCCTTGTACCGGCCGGCGAGCGGGTAGTAGACGCTGAGGGTGTTTGAGAGGGAATCTCTGAGGGTTTCGGCGAAGGAATCTTGGTCGTAGGAAGAAGCACGACGGCGGGGAAAGAAGAGGCAGAGCGGGACGTATGCGTGAGGCGCGGTTTGGTCGAGAATCGTGAGGTTGTGGGCTCGAAGGTGGTCGGGAGTTGGAGAAGATGGTTTCACGGATTCGGCAGAAGTGATTTCGACCTTGAAATTAGGTGCCATTATTGTGTTTGTTGGTGGTGCTCTCTGGCTTAGATAAGCTATTTCAAAGTGTGTTGTGTGAATATGTCAGATATGATTACGCCGGGCATTTTATAGAGAGTGTTTAGGAGTGGTGGTGGTCTGGTTTTGGTTTTTCGGTTTTAATAAATCGTACTTGTTTGAAAGGTTTATATGTTTTTTTCAACAGGTATATATAAGCCCTTAACGATTTTCATTTCGGTTAAAATAAAAAATCCTTAATGAACGGATAATCAGAATTCATTTTTTCGCTTTATCGATTTATTCATACCAAAGTCGAAACACATTAAAGGTTTATTGATTTTCGGGTGATTAACGTTTTCTCTATTTCAATTTTTGGGCAATAGGCTAATTCGGTTCCTAACGATTTTCCCCCACTCCTAATAGAGACTAGTTATGAGTATTACTATTATTGTACGTTTATTTTGGTTGAGAAATGTGTCTTCTAGTAGTGGTTATTTTCTGGACGTCTCATTCTGGAATCTTTGTATTCTATAACATGAAGTGGGAACTAAATAAATGAGAAGTACTACTTTGGCGAAATTATGAAACCAGCAACCACATATTTGTCTGGATATTTTTACCAACTCCAAAGTTGTCATTTTCTTGAAGACTAAGGACCATGTGATGTGAGGAGGACCATCAATAGTACGTGTAACTGTTGGGGTGCACCTCTAATTTTGGGTGAATGTATATGATATGTAGCTAGACATGTATTCATGGCTCGATTCATTGGTTGATTCGACTCTATTGTTATGATTTATAGGAATTTTGGCTCGGAACTAAATTAATTTACATGCACTATTAATGGTTTTGAGTTTTGTGTTGGATTTGAATTGGGTCCATTCTTTAGCAAGAGTGTCTTACTATGATCAATTGGCTCGAGCAGGTGAATGATATCCAGACGGAAGTTGGGGTTGTAAGCATGATTAGGGATGACAACTTTGTCCATATTCATGGGTTTTGTACTATCCAATCCAATTGGGTTGGGTATGAAATCCAAATAGATGGATATGGGTAGAGTTTGATGGGTTTGTACCTATACCCATTTACTTTGGTTTGAGTTGGGTTTATATCAAATGGATTTGGGTTTGTACTCATGCCCAAATACAAATTACAGTTTGGTAATAGATATGCATATTTAGTACCTGAATTTAATTTTTTTTGCATATAAGTCCTCAAAATATCGATAGAAAATTACGTGTTGGTACCTAAATTTTTTTGGTCTTACATTTTGGTACCTAAACTTTTCAAGTTTTGCAAATAGGTCCAATTTTTGCATGTGTAGTTAAAACACCCTCAAGTAAATGGATATCCATATCCAACCCATACCCATTTAGATTATGGAAGCAATATTCATATCTTAACCAAACACATATATAAACCCCCCAAACCCATATGTACTTCACCCATACCCAACCCATTATCAATGGGTCTACTTGGGTTTGGATATAATTACCTATGGGTGGGTAATTTGCCATCCTAGGCATGATGAACATTCGACGTTTGCTACCGAAGATGGGGAATGGAACGTGGAATTACGTAAGACGCTCTGCGAATGAAGCTGTTCATCTTATGTCCTGGTCTGCCACTCGAGATCTGCAAGCGATTGTTTGGCTAGACCAGCCCCATGGTTCTATTTGATCAGTTACAGCTTGATAATATAACGGTTTCGACTAATTAATAAAGTTTGGCAGGTTTTTAGTAAAAAGAAAATGGGTCTAATTTGGATCAAGTCACTTGGGTTAGATTAAAATGGGTCTTATATCCAAATGTTTATATACTTGAATCAATAAATAACGCAACATCGAAATAATCATCTTTAAATCCGGAAAAATTCCTTTATTTTTGTTTATTAATTATTTTCACCAAAACGACGTCATTTTGTTCAGGGATCGAAAAATTGAACGTTCCTATCGAACCATTCTTTTCCATATTTGAAATTTTCTTTTCTTTCCTTTTTTATTTATTTTCATTATCGTTTCATACCGATATTCTTCCAGATGATTTTTGTACAATAGCGGTTGAACTTGATTGTATCACTATAGTACGCGAACGGATCAGGTCAGTAACCTTATGGTGAGTAACCTGTCCACATCAGCATCCCGCTCTCTTCTGGAAAGTCTTTAAATTTCCCGTCCTTAATCTTTGACGGATGATTTCTTACTCGTTTTAAGTCAAAATTTAATTTTTTTACACAGTTAGATCAGATTAATTGTGCTCTTCAAAATGATATCCACTTTGATATATTTTTCGAACAAAAAAATTGAGCCATTTTTTACCAGTCTATACTCTATACCATATGGTATTGACTGGTATTGAAATAAGAGCATACCTATGGTTTGAAAAGCGTATCATGGTGGTATGAACAAACCAAGAATGTAGGATAGTTGAATACATGATTGTAGAAATATATTAACTGTCATTTACGGCTTTTAACATTATGTATCATAAGATACCACCCCATACCAGGGTGGTATTGTATGGTATTGTCAATTGTGTGGTATTTTTTTGTCCTGTAATTTGTTCACCCAGAAATTTGTAGATCCAATAGATCATGATGAACTCGTCCCTTCTGTGCAAACGTTTTCAAAAACGAATTAAAAACGAAGAAAATACCATATGCTATGCAGTTGGTACCGAGAGCCCAGAATTTTTTGTTCTAAAAAAATATTGAAAATTGATCTCATTTTGTAGAGCACGATGAACTCGTTACACATGTGCAAAAAAAATTAAAATCGTGTTAAAACGAAAAAGATATGAGCCGATTAAGAAAGCTAGGGAAAATAAAAATGATCCTTAATTCTCCATCATTAGATCTAAATTTTCTAAATGAAGGGTTCAGATTTGATTATTGATGGATTATGCATCCTATCTTGAGCCCTACCGTACTACGCTGATATTTTGTGATGCGCTGGCTATATAAGTACTGAATTTTGTTTGGGGTGATCTGATTGGCCCCTTGACTATTATTCAGAGGGAAATTTAAATGTATGGCTAGTTTGGGCCAAGGACCGCTAACAATTAGACACCCACTAGTACGATCCATGATAACGGCAGCACGTCTCGATTCATTCAATAAATTTGGGGACCTAGAATTTTGGCTAACATTCGGATCGGGTTTGATAGTGCATGGACAGGTTAATTTATAGTACAAAATTGATGTTTACTAAATTGATAGTGCATGCAGCTTGCTAGTGATTCTCACTATTCTTTGTCTGTTAGACAGTTGCTCCAGAATATCATGAATCAATTGAATTGCAATATCCACCAGAAGTTAATTTGAGTTCTGCAGAGACATGCACCACAGAAGCAACTTAGAAGCAGCGAGTGCGGCCAGTGGCGGATCCAGAAATTTTATATAGGGGTGTCCTCCCCTAAAAATTAAGTTAAAATAATAATTAAATAAGAAAATATCTGACTTGCCCAAAGGAAAACAAAGCACATGACGTATTTCGTACTTTGGAAAAATTGTAAAATACAATTGGTGTCCAACAATGCTCTATAAATCTCTCTCGATATATTCTACTAGACTAGGGAAGCCCGTAATTGGGGCTAAGATCAGGTGACTAAGGGGGAGTCTCTTAGTCACATGACTAAGCCAATCTCAGCCCTCCATTCTCATTAAAATCTAATGGTTATAATTAATTCAGTTTAATGAAGGGTAATGTAGTAATTGAATAATCAAATTTTAATTTTCAATTATAATGTGAATAAAAAAATCGCTGGCGTCCCTTCCACCTCCCTTCCGCCAGCCATGGAAATTTACGTCCCGCCGCCGACATGGAAATTTCCGGCTCCCTCCCGTCGGCCATGGAATTTTCCGGCGCGTTTCTTCCTGGCAAATGCTTTGCCATTTTTCTGGGAACAATTGCAATTCCCCTTTCTAGAAACAATTGCAATTCCCCACTTCAGTTCAGTTAAGAGAGAGAGATTTGGATTTGGATTTGTGATGTTTTATGACCTATTTTGTAATGTTTGTATAGATTTGTTTTGTATTGTTTGTCATTTTTAGTGACATTTTTGTACGGTTAGTATGCTTTGTACTGTTTGTCGGTTTATTTTGTAATGTTTGTACGCTTTGTTATTTTGTAATGTTTGTCGTTTTTTTAGTAATGTTTGTAAACTTTGTTATTTTTGTGTACCATGTTTATCATTTTTGTCAACCATGTTTGTAATGTTTTTTATGTCTAAAAAACAACCTGGTTGACTTTTGGATGGACCTCCTCTATATAGGGATGGAGCCCCCAAAGTCAACCCGGGTGTTTTTTCCAGTTCGTATGGATTGTCGGTCTAGTTTGTCATCTTTGTCCACCATGTTCGTAATGTTTGTATGTCTAAAAAACAACCGGGTTGACTTTGAGACGGAGCCCTCTATATAGGGATGAAGCCTCCAAAGTCAACCCGGGTGTTTTTCCAGTTTGTATGAATTTTTGATCTAGTTTGTCATTTTTGTCCACCATGTTTGTATGTCTAAAAAACACCCGGGTTGACTTTGGGAAGAAGCCCCTCTATATAGGGATGGAGCCTCCAAAGTCAACCCGGTTGTTTTTTCTTTTTGTATGGTTTGTATTGTTTGTCGGTCTAGTTTGTATTGTTTGTACAGTTCATACGTTTGTAATGTTTGTAAATCTGTTTGTATGTTTTGTCGCTCTAGTTTGTACTGTTCGTATGTTTGTATGGTTTGTACTGATTGTATATCCGGTTTGTATACTTCGTAATTTTCCATAATATCCAAACTACTTCTGTCATTAATTAAATAGCCCTTCCCACTTTTTAACCATTGTATTGAAGTGTCCAGATCTAATGGCTAGGAAGGGCTTAGTCAAGTGACTAAGGACCCCCCCTTAATCATGGGATCCGCTCTCCCGTAATTGGGTTTAATTGTTAGCTTCTGAAAATAATTGGGGATAAAAAATAGCTTTTTACTATTTTATTTGGATTTGAAATACAAGAACAAATGAGTTATAGTCTAATGAAAAATATGTTTACTAATAGTAGCATCGACCCAAATTCAAATCACATAGGCAACCACTTAAATGTTTATTTTTACCCATACACAGACTACTATTGGTGGATTATAATCGTTTTTCCAAATTTTCTGAGTGTCCCGCCACCACTTAAATATTTTTTTTTACCTATATGTAAACTACTATCGAGAGTTGAATAATCGTGTTCCCAAATTTTAGGGGTATCCTGAAGCCCCATGGATCCGCCACTGAGTGCGGCGGCTGATGGAGCGACTATTATGAGTGGCAACTTCAAACCAGGAATTTGGGGGTCAACTTAATAGTTGACTATTCGTCCACCACGACGCCTTCACGCCCGTTGTCTGCTTGTGATGAGGAAACCCTGATCTGGGTCTCCGCCGCCTTGGATCCAACATCAGACTTCTCTGCGGGGGATTTGGTGATAGCCATGGTCTCGCTGCCCGTCCCGGTGTAGAGTTGCGACAAACTCAATAGTTGGAATCGGGCTCTGATACCAGATGATAGAAACCAGTATTTCGGGTTCTATCTGATAATAAGAAAAGATTTGGGATTTGGGTGAAGAGCCTTCTAATGGCTTATGTTGTGCGTGTATGGGAAGGGAAAAGAGGAGTGGAAGTGGGAAAAGTGGAAATGAGAGGGGAGAAGGCTGTGCAGCAGCCTGCAGAGAGAGGGAGAAGGATCGGCCAAGAGGGAAGGGAGAGAGAGGAATATTAGGAGATAATTAGGTTTAATCTTTGCTTGACTTCCATTCCTACGTAGCAAAATAGTTTAAATAGCATTCCCTAATTACCTATATCTACCCCAATTTTTTTAATCCCCAATTAAATCCCCAAAGGCCTCATAGAACTCTTAAACAATCATAAACTAGCAAATAAGTACAAATGCTAAAAAAGTATAGAAACGCAGGTTTCTATCATCCTTGCCTCCTTCGAAACAACCTTGTCCCCAAGGTTGTCAGTCCTCCGCCTGATCTTCGTTTCTCCCTTCCGCCGTGTCGTCCTCGGCCTCATCCTCCCACCTCCCCACCAGCATCATCAAGTCCGGCTTCGCGCACTTATGTCCAATGGTGAACCGTTCATCATAGTTGACGCACTTGCCTTCCCTTCTCTCCCCCTCGATCTCTGCTGAGCTCAGCCTGACGAATCCCTTTTGCGGGGGCCTCGGCCCAGGACGTGCTGTCGTAACCGCTGCACCCGGTACAGTACTAACCCCGCTGTTAGCATTAACAGCTGCACCGCCACTTCCGCTACTCCCTGCACCCACGTGGCCACCTCCTCCAGACTTCGGATAGCGCCCTATGACATTCCTCCAGCTTGTAAGCTCCTCCTCCTTATGTCCTGCAAGACGAAAAACAGCTCGCAAAGTATCTGGTTCAAAAATCTTGACTGCCGCGACAATCTCCTGTTTTAGACCCACCATGCACATTCCCGCCAGGGTCTCTTCCGGAACTCCCTTACACTGGTTTTCCAATTTAAGGAACTCTGCCCGGTACTCAGTTACTAATCCGGTCTGTCTGAGCTTGGCCAGCTGCTCCGGAGCCCAGCCCTCTGACTTGCCGAATTGGTAGTGAAGCTCCTCCTGGAATATCGGCCATGTGATCAGTGTCTGTGCTGCAACATAGGATCTCTCTAACCACTCCCACCAGTGCAGGGCGTCACCCTCCAGATAGAAGGACGCCAGTTGCGCCTTCCTTTCCTCACGGGTCGGGTGATTCTTGAACCACTTGTCAGCTGCATATAACCATAAACCGGCATCCTCCTGACCATTGAATTTTGGAAACTCAATGGTCGGGGGCTTTGCTTGAAACACTAAGCCATACTCATCATCATAGCCATGCCCGTCGTCTCCTGAGTAGTGTCCAGACCTTCCGGGTTGACCCCCGGGGTCTCCTGATGTTTCGAAAGGAGGACCGTGTGCACTCAAGCCCTCTAGCTGGGCTCGCCATCCTGCGGCTGGTCTGCCATCCGGAATCACCCCAAACCGGTTCAGTTCAATTGCGGTTCGACAATTATCGGTCCATCCAGCCCCGGTTCGATCGCCGGTTGTCCACCTAGCTCCGGTGTGAACCTCATCGGTCTACCCCGCTCTGGTTCGACCGCCATTGAGCCACCTAGCTCTGGTTCGACCGCCATTGGGCCACCCAACTCCGGTTCGACCAAATTCGGGCCATCCAGCTCTGGTTAGACCGCCATCGGGCCACCCAGCTCTGGTTCGACCATTTCGGACCGATTGTATCACCAAAGCCTGATCCACCCCGCTGGTCCGACCGAGCCCATTCATCCCGCAACCATGCTCAGGCCCACCGCCGGCCCGCTGCACTCGGCCCATCTCATCCTCTATCAGGTTTGGGCCCAACAGTCTGAAACATGGGTTCTGGATCACGTTGTCGTAGCCCGACATCTTCGCTTTGCCACGTATGGCCGCGATCTCCTCTGCGGGGTCAGTAGCAGCCTGAGCCTGCCACGAGGCCCACCAGCATCTAGTCCCACCCGTTCAGCCGCCGCCTGCCCTAGGGTGGGCGCCGTCGCCTCCCCTCCGGCCCCCGCCGCCGCCTCGCTAGTGGTTGGGACTCCCGTCGAGTCCCCAGCTCCTGTGGCCGCGCGCTGGCCGGCAACCGCCGCATGGTCCACCCAGGCCACCGCCACCCCGCCTCAGTCACCGCCGTGGAGCCCCAACGCAGCCGCCATCCTCCTCTGCTCCTCCTGCATGTTGGTGAGGAGCTGCATGATCATGTCTCATTCGCGTCTGGCCTCCTCAACCTCTGTCTGCACCTCCTCCATGTTGGAGTCGGTCTTCAACTGCATCGCCATGATGGTGCGCATCGAAGCCTTGAGATCTTCATTCTCGGTTTCGTTCACCACGACGCCTTCACGCCGCTTGTCTCCTTGTGGCGAGGAAACCTGATCTGGGTCGCCGCCGCCTTGGATCCGACATCAGACTTCTCTGCGGGGGATTTGGTGATACCCATGGTCTCGCTACCCGTCCCGATGTAGAGTTGCGACAAACTCAATAGTCGGAATCGGGCTCTGATACCATATGATAGAAACCCGTATTTCGGGTTCTATCTGATAATAAGAAAAGAAAAGGGATTTGGGTGAAGAGCCTTCTAATGGCTTCTGTTGTGCGTGTATGGGAAGGGAAAAGAGGAGTGGAAGTGGGAAAAGTGGAAAGGAGAGGGGAGAAGGCTGCACAGCAGCCTGTAGAGAGAGGAAGAGGGATCGGCCAAGAGGGAAGGGAGAGAGTGGAAGATTAGGAGATAATTAGGTTTAATCTTTGCTTAACTTCCATTCCTACGTTGCAAAATAGTCAATGAGTCTGCTTGGGTATAAGGAAATATCATTTATTAGCCAAATTGTTTTTTTTTTAAAAGTTGGATGTTGACAGACATATTTCTCAGTCAATATTATTAAAACTGTTAACAAAAAAAATTAATTTTAGACTAATAATACTAGCAAAACACTATAACGGGCCACATAATACATGTCCATATGTCATCTACACCCCGCGACATCGCCACCTAGTTTTCCCTAAATACGAGAGTTATAATAAAGTCAAACCGGTTTATTCCGTTACGCCTGTTTTACAAGTGGAATGTTTGATCGACGGCGGTATAATCATTTGTGTCGGCTCATATCAATTAAATAAAAAGTATTGAAATGGGAAAACAGATTAACACCAAATCATATATCAAACATATTTGAAGAATTTTGTATGGTTAATTAAAAATTAGCTTTAAGCACTAAAGGGGCAAACTGCAACCCTCTTTCTCAAAGTACGACTTACATACCTAATATCAAAACTTACCACTTCAAAATCAAAGAAAGCCTATTCAATGTATCTCTACTATAGTCTACATCATTTGGTTGTTTTGGAAAACTAGGTTTGATGTAAGCGGAATCCGAACTCGCTCACGAATCAGAATACACAACTCTCACTTTTTAGGGGGTTTTCTGGGATTTTTTCAAGAACACAAAAATAAAAAGATAGGATGGAAAAGGATTGTCGTGCGACTTCAACACACGAGAAGAGGCTCGAAGAATATCAGGGTAGATGCCCGCCCATGATCAGTGTGGTTTTGATCGATACAGAGCTAAACTTGAGTTTGGAATCCACCAAACTCACATTCAGGTGTAAACACTCAAGAAAAGAAAGGGTTTTCCATTCATCAAAGTCTTAATCCTCTGTCGAAATTATTGGCTTACAACCCTTTAAATAGGTATGGAAAATAAACCTAATGAAAACACTAAAAAGGAAAAGAATTATAAACAAAAAAGGTAACAAAAACTCGGCAGAACCCAAAATCCGATCTAAATACCCGGTAGGGTATTTTACATCACTGGCTGGGGAAAATTCCTGGACCGAATCCTCGATCTCTCCTTCCATTTAACCGGTCGGGGAATTGATGATTCCGGCCGGGTTTTCTCCTCTACTTTGGTGGCCGGGAATCACATCAAGGTTAACTTCATCAAATACCTTCTTCACAATCTGGTATGGGGTGCATATTGATCAGCTACCATAAATTATATTCTCTTGCATCGGTCCCACAATAAATGACTCAGTGTTAATAATCAAAACAGTCTGTCAATCGTAGTCTTATATGAGTTGCCTAGTAAATGATATTTACCTAAACCCAAGTAGACCTATTGATCATGGGTAGAGTATGGGCGACATAGATATGGGGTTGGAAGTTTGTAGATGGGTTTGGGTAGGATATAGATATTTATTTCCATAATCTAAATATGTATGAGTTGGCTATGGATATCCATCTATTCGAGGGTTTTTTAATTACACGTACAAAAATTAGACCTATTTGTAGAAATTCAAAAGTCTAGGTGCCAAAATGTAATAGAAAATAAATTAGGTACTCAATTTTGGGGGTGATAATCCCCAAATTGGGATTATCATACGTCACCCATACCCTACCCATAATCAATGGGTCTACTTGGGTTTAGGTAGGGGTGGAAATTGGTACGGTATCGATATCCCAATACCAAATACCGAAATCCCGGATACCAAATTATAACCTAGAATCAATCCCAATCTCAATCCCTAAATATTTCGGTATCCCAATCGGTACTTTGGTATCCCAATCGGTATTATCGAATATGAAATTAATCACCTTTACAATTAATAATTAAATATATAAATTAGATTTGATTGTTTAATATAGGACAAAGAGACTAAACAAATAGTTTTGAGTTTGGCTAGAGCTAGGATATGGATAAGGAGAATGAAGTAGAGTTGACATCTCAAGTTTTTGTCATTGGTAATTTTTAATTTGACGAATTGGAGGCTGAGAGAAGACTAATACTAGTGTTTTCCTTTTGGTGTTATGAAAATAACAATAGATTGGTGGTTGAGGGTAGTGTAGTAGTGAGTGAGAGAGTCTAGTTGAGAGGATAAAATACACACTAGCTTATATTTAGGTATTGTTCGGTATTTTGGTATATACCGATCTCAATCCCTAATACCGAATAACAATTGAAATTGAATCTCAATCCCAATCCCAAGAAATAAAACGTGCATTCGGTAATACCAAATATAAACAAATTCGGTACGGTATTCGGTATTTCTCAAAAACCGGTACCAAACTTCCAACACTGGGTTTAGGTAAATATAATTTATTAGCCAAAATTTTCAAGATTTTTTAAATTGGAAGTTGACTGCATATATCTCTTTTCAGTCAATAATACTAACAAAAAGCAAACTCAGCTCGATAGGTGCCCTATCAGCTCGATAGTTTCCCCTTCACTTCTGCGACAAACCAACCATTCACAAATGAAATGAAGCCAAGCAAGATCACAATTCACAACACCCACCAAATTGAACAAAGAAGACAACCAGAACGATGGAGTCAACTACTACCAGTCGCAACAAGTAATAATCTCGCTAGGAACAAAAACAATTCAGCCGCAACCCATCTCCAATATAGATGATCTAACATATATGATGTATCGACATACAGGTACCAAATCAACCATTTCCTCTTCTAACAAGAATCAGACCATGAAACTCACCAGGGCCGGCCAAGAGGGTGTGCCGGCCCTCCCTCCGGCACAGGGCCTCCGAATATTAGGGGCCTCCACTTAGATTCGTTAGTTACCGATCGAATATTGCAGGTTGTTTTTTTAGTATATGATTGATAGATGATGAATATGATGACGAATTTAATAGATAATTTTAGCTATAATAACAATTGAAAAGGATCTCATGGAGAATACGAAAATCAGAGAGATAATAGATAATTTAATTTAAACAATAAAGAAAGATATTACATTTTGAATAATGGTATTATAATCATTTTAGTTTTATTATAGTTAAAAGTCAATTTGGATCATGTCTTAATTTTAGATAGGGCCTACACGATCCATTAGATAGACCCGCACCCACCTCTCGATCAATTTATATTATTTTCATTTCTTCATTCAATTTTTGCTCTATATCCATTTTTTGTTCCCTCCAGATTTACTTTTCTCCCTCCCTGCTAGGAGTGAGAATTTGGTCTTGGTTTCTTGGTCAAACAGGAAGTGAGATTGTTTATTCATTTTGAAATCATTTTCTGAACTTATGTACTTTATAATTATTTAATAAATTTTATTTTTGATAAATTTATTGAGAAAAAAATTAGTGGCCACATGTTAAATTTTCGAACAGGGCCTCCAAATATCATGGGGCGGCTCTGAAACTCACCAAGAAGACTACTACCAACTCTGCTGCTATTGGAGATGCTTTGTCTTCTTCGGAGATTCTCACCAAGAATCCCAAACCCTAACCCCCCAAACCAGATCCGAAAACTAACAACAACAACAAGAAGAAGCCAATTACCAAGGCAAAGCCGCGCTCGCCGCCGAGCTGGATCGAGCCAGACCAGGACGACGACGATTTGGTGTCGGATCTCACTAATTAGGGTTCTAGCTGGGTGGCGAAGGATGGGCGAATAAGGGAGAATGGAAAATCGATGGTTCCTTAGAGAAGGGAAGACGAAGGAAGAATCTGGTTTCGTAATATTGGTGGAGAAGGAGCTGACGAAGGAAGGGAGATAGGAAGAATCTGGTTTCGTAATATTGGTGGAGAAGGAGCTGACGAAGGACGACAATTAAGAACTGAGGCTGAGAAACGAAATCGGTCGAGTGACCTACAGAGGCTGGGAAACAAGAATTGGACACCTACATATGGAAGAACGGAGGTAGGATGGAGGGAGGGAAGCAGGAAGGAAGAAGCCGACAGGGTTGTCAATGTGACTTTCCATAAAGTAATCCATCCTTGTAATGCTCCATTGTGACCATATTTAATTTCAAAGTTCTTACAAAAACTCGATCATTTCACTGCAAAACGCGTCTTGTCAATTAAGATCAATTTCTTACTTATAATCATGAATCTCTCTCTTTCTTTTGTCGAGATTCATTATATACATCATCCGACATCCAAGGTTACAAACGACCTCTAAGTTGAATTTTTTTTTTTTACCATCTAAGTTAAAGTTTTAAAGCCTCCTCCGCTTGCTACACCTTTTCTTGTATATTAACCTTAAAAAGCAGTTAGTAAAGCTGCATCATAAAAGTGACTTCTCTTGTGGGTGATAATTTGATTCTTCTGGTTAAAACAAAAGCCATTTGCTAAAAGTGCAAAGTGAACAAAAGTGAATGATAAACAGAGGCTGCTTTTGAAAGAATGGTAAATGACACACAAACCCTTCTCTTCCTTTTTTGTTAATAAATTTGACAATCAACAACTTTACCCTATTGAAATCATGCACAATACTAGAAAATTGGTAAAGTTCGTTTGCTTCAGCTTTTTGGATGAGTAATTTGATACTAAATAATTCAATTGAGTAAATTGGTAGGAATTTTGATTCCAACAGAAAAAGAAATTACTTAATTATTGAGTAATAAATGACTCATTTGCCAAAATTAAATATAATTTATTAGTCAAACCTTTCAAAATTTTTAAATTATTAGCCCAATCTTTTAAAATACAAAACATTAGCCAAATATTTTGTAACGTATCAAAATTGTAGTCATTTTTCTGTTACTGTTAGTAATTTTGTAACTTTTTCTTAGTGAAAATACCAAAATTTTATAATGTTGACCTCC